TGGGACCATGGGGAACAAAACTGAGTTTAGTGTCACTTTAAATTCTATTAAATTCTAGCTCTGGGGTGTGTATGACTGTCTGTATGACTGTCGTAGGGGCAGAAGATTGTAAGTTTCTTCATGAGCAGTGGCCAGTGAAAAGTGTTCAATGTATTCTTTAATACCCTGCATAATGTAACTGAGCTACTGACATAGAGGAAAGTAGGTCAGCGTTTCACCTATAGCTGAAGTTTAATGTGCCTGTATTTGTTGTTTCCCACGTCATCAACATGCTAATGGATTTTTTTATTACACCTTTCCATTTTTATTACATACCTTATTAGAGGCCCAGTGATGTCATCATTGGGTCTCCATGTTTGTCTATGCAATGCAGGCAGACCATGGATGGCGGGAGGAGACAGCAGGGTGCTAGCTTCCTGAAAATATCACAGCACCCTGCCTCAGTACTCCTCTCTCAAGCTGGCTGTTGGGAGGAGTTATGCAAATATCAAAATGCCTGTAAGGGCAAAATGGCAGCCGCGCATGCGCACAAACGGAATCTCCATGTGGCCGGAAAACGCGTCATTTGCGCGCAAACACGCGCAACGGCCGTCGCACAGGAAGTGATGCTGCTACCTGGTTAAGCTCACCATATAAAAACGAGCCTGCCCCATTGCTGATGGTCTTTTCAGCTAGTGTTCCTTTGTACGATAGAAAGGGGGACAGATTGGAGTTACGCTGAACCAAATAATAAATTGTAGTATGCTATACCAGTCTCCAGGTTTTCAACAATAATAATCAAAACATAAGGTGTCCCCAAAAGAATAGAAATCCCTTACTCTGAGCCGGTTCAATAAACAGGTAGATATTACATGATTTGACAGTTAGAATATTTAATCATAGAAAGGGTTTTAACATTACATCCACAACAAGACATTTAAAAACAATTAAAAAACTTCCCTAAGGTAACAAATATAAGAGTCATGGGTGATCTACAATCCAACTAAAGTGATACTAAGGAGTAGCCACCTACTATACAGATATCTCATATGTGGGTACAATGTATCCCGGGTTACTCACAGCTCATGTTCAGGGAGCTCAGGGAGAGACAGTCCTGCTCGGGTTCCAAAGTGCTGGGTGATGTATTTGCTTCAATAGATAATTGTAATTGGGAGCAGGAGATAGGGATAGATAGACTGGGCTGGAAATTCAAGTGCCCCTGCCTTTTTCCCATGCTTGGGGCTCTCACTGGCCCTCGGGCTCGATTTCCAATTTGAGAGCTAACCCAGAGGCATTTCCATGTAGATGTGTGCGGCCGCACAGTAAAGCAAAAAAGGTGTATGCAGGGGTCTCAGAATTAATCTTACCAGAGAATCCTCTCTGCTACTTATATTTAATTTGGATGTACTTGTGTTGGTTTTATTAAATTTCCTGGGTCCATTTTTTACCCGTTTATAGGATTTTTTAAAAATTTTATTTGAGTAGCCCCAGTCTCGTAGTCTGAGTCTCAATTTATGTGCTTCTCTCTCAAAATCCACGTTGTTAGTACAATTACGTCTGACTCGCAGATATTGACCAAAGGGGATGCTGTTTTTTAAGCAGGATGGATGAGCACTGTTGGCTTCTAAGATGGCATTACCCGCTGTAGATTTTCTATATAGGCTAGTGTAAAGGGTTCCTTCGGCATATTTGCATATTAGGACATCCAGAAAGGGTAGTCTGTTGCAATCATAGGTGACAGTGAACTTTAAATTGAGGTCATTAAAGTTTAATATATCAACAAAGTCCCCCAGGAGCTCCTCGCCCCCTGTCCATAGTAAGAGGATGTCATCTATGTACCTGTGCCATGACAGCACATGGCACAGGTACATGGACAAGTCCTCTCGGGCCCACAGGTCCTTTGTGTTCCTTTGTGCTTGTACCTGTTGGATTCCTGTGACCTGCCTGACCCGGTTTGTTTGGACTTGCTACTTGATTGCTGCCTGCCCCTGACCTCGGCCTGTTTCCTGGACTTTGCCTTCTGCCTCCTGATATTGTACTCTGCTGCCGGCTGGCTCCGACCTCTGACTTTTCTGACTACGCTCCAGTCTCTTGATCCTGCTCCCACGCTGTCTGCTCGGTGGACCCCCGGTTTGCGGACTACACGTCATCAGGACGTCTCCTGCACAGTGTTGGTTCCCATCAGTGGCTCTCGTGCTCCTCACTGTCCAACTGCTCCCTGTTCCCACCTCCAGGGGCAGAAGGACACGAGTCGCCTCCTCACCTTCCTGTCTCAGGTATGTGACAATGCCCTGATGGGTGGATGTGAGTCTGGAATAGTGGATGTTCCTAGGCAGGTTGTATTTGCATGTGGGCCTCCCTAGGTACAAATGTAAATTTGATACTGAACCTCCATGATTGAAAGTGTCAATGAATAAGGGCCTGGGACAGTCAGGTGTGGGAGGAAAGGCTAGATGATGCTAGATGACCTCCAGCCAGGAAATGAGGTGGGCTCTCTCTGACTTACTGCAGCTTCTAATGCACATTGTGAGAAGCTGACAGTGTGCAGTGAAATCAGAGGAAGCAATTTCAGTCCAGGAGGGGAGCCGGTACAACTGTGCAAGACTGAAGGGAAGGGCAATGTACAGCTTTAATCCATCTGACTACCACTTAGTACTGTATGGCTTGTCCCCTGTTCCTTTACTGAAGCGCTAATAACGACATTTACTATAAGCAGGGCTTGAAAGATCCACTCGTCCGCTCGCCTGTGACGAGAGGACGGCGGAGCCCGACAAGCAGCTTCCCGGCCGTTGTAATTACACGGCCAGCTGGGAGCTTTACATTCAAGCGATCGGGCGTCTCGAGAGACGCTCAATCCCTTGTATTAGCAGCTGTAACTGCCGTTGCCGGTCCTGAGGTCCGCTGTGCCTGATGCGGCCGGGACCGGCACGGCTCTGTGACAGGATACCGTATACTGAACTCCCTTTCATCTTCTCTCAGTCCCCGAAAGCAGGAAGTGATGTATACTACATCACTTCCTGCATTCAGTGTCACTCTCCAGCTACAGAAGCTGATGAAGCCGATCTCTGCTTCATCAGCTTCTCTAGGGGTCCTTAGGTGACATTAAAGAGGACCTGCCATGTAAATTGGCTATTGACTGTCTTCTTAGCCCCCCATGTAATAGCAATAAAGTTGTGTGTTAAAAAAAAGTAATACAAAAATTAAAGAATCATTAAAAAAAATAAAGCATAACAAAAATTAGAAAAGAAAACAATTTTTTTAAGTACCCGCCCCCCACATACACACGCAGATATGCGTCGGGTGCGCCTCTGTGCGAAAACGACAATTGCAGCTATTGTGCCACACATGTTACATATTGCCGCAAACGTCGGAATGAGAGCAATACTTTTAGGGCCATTAATCACTGATAATACTAAACTGATGAGCAGTAAAAGCGTAGTGTCGCTTATGAGTCTATTGGCGTTTTTTGCGATTTTGCGGGCGCACGCAACTTTAAGGCTTGACATGTTTGGTGTTTATTTACCCGACGTGATCCCGACTTTTATGTTTTACCAAAAATATGGGTAATAATAAATGTTTTATAACATAACGTAGGGAAACTTTGTTTTGTTTTTTACATTTACGGTACTTTTTTCATTATGTAGTAAAAAAAATACCCCCCCCCCCGTGGTGATTATATACCTCCAAAGGAAAGCTCTATCTGTCCCCAAAAAATGTAATAAATTGCAAGGCTAGAGACCGGCCATGCCGACTGGTGAGACACCCTAATATTTTTCAAGCTCTGACTATAAGGCAGAAGCAGCATGAATTAGTGACAATCCACAGACAGAAAAGCAGAAGGACTATGAAAGGTTTTTTTTGAATTGTTTTTGTTCCCAAATGGTTCTCAGTGAAGTTATTTGGTACTCTGAAAATAAATTTGACATTTCCTCAGTATTGGCGAGGTGATTTACTACATATAAATAACTATATAAATAAAATTCTGTATCACTGAAACAAGCAGAGACACGTATGAGGCTTGTCTTTCATCTAAATATTTGGAATGAAGACATTTACATATTACAGTTCCCAGAAGCCATTGGAGAGGACATCCAGGACACAGTAAACACTGGACCATAACGAAGGGGCTCATATAGAACAGAGAGCGCATATCAGTGTGTAGGGAAATCTTTGTAATCAGCTCACAGAAAGCAATCGCAGAGGTTCTGACTTGTACTTACTCTATAGGAAACTAACAAAACAGTGTAAGCTGAAGTTGGGTTTTAACACAGCATTCGTACCTGGTGATGTTATAGGTGATGTTAAAGCAGAACTCCACCCAAATAAATATCTTACCCTTTGCAGTGGGGCCATCCACGCACTGCAAGGGTTAAATACTTGTATTGTCTAGGGAGCTATATGGAGATACTGTATTCTCAGCTGAACCACAATCCCAGCTGGCTCCTACACAGGTCTCATCAGCCTGTCTCCTCCTCTGCTCCAGTGATAGAGGGCCCAGTCATACTATATCCAGTCTCAGAATACATGTAGTGTGGGAGGGGGCGTGGTGATGCCGTTCATGTCAATGGCACCACAGGCACCCATCCCGCATTGCATGTTTTATTTATTCCAATCGCACTGCACTGGAACGGGAGGACATTCCTGTACCTTGCGTTCCAGTAGGGGCAATCGCACCGCAGTGCTATTTACATGAATTGCCCGCCACATCCCCTCCCGCCCCAGAATGTGGTCTGGCCTGATCTATGTGATCCAGTGCATTCCGGGTTTGGACAGCACTGGATATGGTGTGGCTGGGCCCGAAATGTCCCTCGCCATCCTCATGTTCTATACAATATATTGGAGATGATGACTCACAGGACCTTAGACCACCAGAGCAAAGGGGGAGCAATGCTGAAGGGAACCAGATCGTTGTTCAGGTGAGTATAACTTTAAATTATTTTAGCTCCCTAGGCAAAATGAGCACTTAACCCTTGCAGTGCGGGGTAGCCCCAAAGCAAGGGTTAAGATTTTGTTTGCCCGGAGTTCTTCTTTAAGGAATACAGTTTTCAGTAGGTAAGCAAGATATGCATTCAAGTGTGCATATATTATTATTGCTCGGAAGTCACGAACATTCAAGAGAGCGTGATGGGTTGAGGTTGTAGCCAAACTTTGGTTCATACTGAAGAGGGTTGAAGTCGACTGGATACTCCTCTGGAGAGAGGCTGCATCACTGCAGAGGGAAGAGAAGATGAATCAGTACACAAACTAGACAAAAGCGGTCTATTTATAAACAATTTACAGGGCCCTTCATCCTGCACATGTATTTGTGAACGGTCTTTTTGGACGAATAATGCCAAAAAGGAAAGTTCTTAATACCTTTTTCTAGTTCTAGTCTGGGGGACAATCTTGCTATAAGTTTATGGTCACTGCAGCGAACACAATCATATAGTGCAATGGAATGCAGCGGATGGAAGGGTTTGTGAGCTGGCCTACTGGGAATAGTTTTATTACGATTTAACCCTTACATCCAAGGCGGTAAAAGGGTTAAGCCTAGAAGTAATAATTTACTGTATATTATGTACACATTATATATCTTATTTGTCTTATCTTTCCTCTAATAGGTGCTTGGAGATTATACTGAGTTTGTATTCAATAAAATTGATTTTTATTTAAATTAAATGTTTTTGTTTGTTCAGACTTGTTGCATCAACAATGGCCTTGTGCAGTCTTGTTTTTTCCCCATGTTCTTTTTGGTGCCTTGGGTCCCTGAGGAGTATTATTATTGTTACAACTATAAGGAGTTTTATTATGAGCTGTAAGTATTGTATATATTAAAGCTGACCATATCCAGGGGCATCCCAAATCCTGGTGACACCCAGAGTGGAGACCGGGTGACACACCACAGTGACGTCATCATGCATTCGCGGCCATCTAATTGACGCCTGCCGGAGAGGAGGGGATGTTCTCCCGGCGGGATGAGGTATACCGCCGGGTCCCCTCCTCTCTCCAGACACTGTCGGGCTCTCCGTCCATGACCGAATGCCCGACTTTTTAGAGAGGGTGACACTGTCAGTCATTTTGGTGTCACCTCTCCAATGGTGTCACCCGGGTGCAGGCTACACCCCCTGCACCCCTCCTCGTGACGCCACTGCCCATATCTTCAAATTGACTAGACATGTGACCATGCACATCATCTAAGGGGAGGAAAATGCCTTTCCCTGAGATCTCCTGAGATTACAGATGAGATTTCGCAGCAATGCTCTGCTGATGACAAGGCAATCCCAGTGTGCATTGCTTTGGCATACTGAAGTCATTTTCCCTTTCAAAGCAGGAAGTGAATGCTCTGCAAGTGTAAGTATTTCACAATCACGGCATTTTACACCTGACATGTCTATGTCATTATTCATCATCATACATAGAGGGATGCATTGGTAGAATTAGATTTTTGAGTGTGAAGGTCCGCTTTAATATCACAGTGAACTTAAATAGCAGTCACTGACAGAACACAATTGTTTCCCAGCAGCAAATTGCAATGTTTATCTGCAATGATTAGTAACCTGCAGCCAGAGCCATAGCTAGCATCTTTTGCGGCCGAGGCAAGAACAGAAAATTGTGCCCAACAGACCTCTGCGGTATGTGACGTCATGCGCCCCGCCTCCAGGATGTCGGAGCGCATGCACAGAATGTGCTGGTGGCCAAATCCAAAATAGCATAAAAATGTGTTTCGTGTGACGAAACTAATGAAAACATTTTTCGTTTCCGTTCATTTCTAAACAGACCCCTGACATTTCCCTTTTGAAATAGAAAAAAGAGATTGAGAACACAGAGTCCTCTAACCATACAGGTGGGGGAGAGCAGTAGGGATCCAAGGAGAAGCTGGAGCCTGTGCCGTTCCTCTTCTCCCTGCCGAGCCACTATGGCAACAGGTGCGAAGGGGCACAGCCAGGCCCGGCCCTGGCTGCGCCTCCTCTCAGCTGCGTCTGAGGCAAGTGCCTCACTCGCCCCAAGGTAGCTACAGCCCTGCCTGCAGCAACAAAATCAGAATTTATTAGCTGTAATTTGATTAGTAAAAGGCAATCTCTGATTGGTTGGCAAGGGGGATCTCACACCAGGACTCTTAGATCTGTGTTTCACAACTGTGTTCTAAAATAACAGCAAACCACTATCCCCAACCAAAGTTCTACTACCTTATATATTAAACGTTCCTCTGCCTTATGGCGCTTGCTTCACTTGTGCCGTTTTCATCAGATTTTCTAAAACAATGTGCAACATTAAAAAAATATTAAGTATTATACATTTTACAAGGAGGCCATTAAGTATTATGTGAGTTAAAACATTCTTACAGGTGTGCCATTTGTTCATCTTCACTTTTAACATCTGCAGAAAAGAATTAAAATATCATTATTAACAAATAATGGATAATGCATTAATAATTCACTGCAATTCCTAACATAAAGGGCACCTGTCATATGCACCCTGTTTTGTTTTTTTTTTAATATAAAAAGTACGAATACGGACTACTGTTTTCTATGCTTGTCTGTCAAAATTGATCCCAATAATTTCTATCTTCACTTGATACAAGGAATATATATATTTTGTAAAGTGTTGTGCAAACTGTTGGCGCTATATAAATCTTGTATAATAATAAAAACATCCAAAATGACATGTGATTTGTAGGACATTTGTATTACATGTATTCCCACAAAACAAACATTTATAAATATTAAATTGGCCCTGTGATTTGTTTATAAATACACCCCATGCTGTCTCCAGGAATGGCTTTGGTGAAATGCCAACACTGGTCTACTTTGCCTCCTACAGGTTAAGAATTAGGTGTGCATCCGTGTATAATTTATAAGAGAAGTAAAGCCGATCCTTTTTCTTCGCTATAATTCTCCTTTGGGTCATGGAAGTACATTTACAAATGTATTCCTGTGACCCAAAGTCAGCAAATAGCAAGATAATGTCCTTTTCTGGCTGACGGGGAAGAGCTGCAGTTAAGGGGGATCCAAACAATAGTGTCAGGATCCAGTGTTAATTTAGTTGACTAAAATGTGTCTTCATAGTTTTCCTTATCTGCATGTTTTCACTGATGACAAGTAAATAAAAACCAAGTTAATAGGAGGAAAACTATGACGAAAATACATTGCAATTGTCTCTACTGGAGATTTAGTTGACAAAACTAAACTACAACTAAAAGAAGTCAGATGCCTAAAATGAGCATGTTAGTTTTATTTGCATTTTAGTCATCTGAATGTTTTAGTTGTAGTACAGGCTATTCACAATAGCCCGTACGGCAGCCGAAGGTGGCCGAGCGGCTCAGCTGAGCCGAAGGCACATGTTTCAGCTCGACTGAGCCAAAGAGGGGCAAACGGCCTGCCCTTCGCCCCGCAAATGACAGCTGGGTGGAGCCAGCCGTGATGTCACGGCTGGCTCCACCCAGTTGTAATGACAGATCAGAGTCCCCAAATGACCTAATGGCAGGGGCCGGCCAATAGGAAACAGTTGGGCAGAGGTAAATGTCACTGCTAGCTCCGCCCAATTGGGTTTTCTTTAATGATTTAAAAAAAATCTTTACTTATTTTTTAATTTTACAATTTATTTACAATAAAAAAAAATATTTGTAAAACTTTTTTTTTTTTAAACTATTTTCACTTTCTATTCTGCTCTGTACCATGGAGGCACCAAGCAGAATAGCCGAGCCGAATGCCGCTCGGCAGCAATTGGCTATTTATTCCCCTCGGGAAGTCTGAAAGGGAAACAGATCTGGGAGTCATTGAAGACCACAGGCTGAATAATATCTCGCAGTGTCAGGCCGCGGTAAACAAGGCAAGTAGAGTCCTTTCCTGTATTAAGAGGGGAATGTTTTGTAGGGACAAGTCCGTAATTGTGCAACTTTTTAGATCACTGGTTCGGCCTCATCTGGAGTATGCGGTCCAGTTTTGGGCACCAGTGAACAGAGGGGATGTCCTTGAACTGGAAAGAGTCCAGAGGAGGGCGACCAAAATCATAAAGGAGATGGAGGCCCTGACCTATGAGAACAGGCTACTAAATTTAAATATGTTCTCATTGAAAGTAAGGCGATTAAGGGGGGACATGATTTTCATGTATAAAATGTTTACCGGGGATAGCAACATTAGCAGCAAACTTTTTACAATTAAATCGATGACAAGGACGAGAGGCCACCACTTAAAATTGGTGGAGAAAAAATTTCAGCACAGTGGGCGAAGGGGTTTCTTCTCGGTTAGATCAGTCGGGGTCTGGAACTCACTGCCTCATACTGTGATTTCGGCTGAGAGTGTGGAATCATTCAAGAGGCGATTGGACGATTTCCTCAGAGACCATAATATACAGGGGTACAAGTACTCTTAAGATTGAGAACACACAGGGACCTATACTGTAGATACTACACATCAGTAGGACCATACACACATACACAAAGAGGTTGGACTAGATGGACATATGTCTTTATTCAACCTCAAATACTATGTAACTATGTAACTCACTGCCCTTCTGGCCCTATGAGAATAGGGGGAACGGCAGCAAGCGAGCTGCCGAAGCTTCGTCTCAGCCGATCCGTATGTTGCACCGGCTGAGTCGAAGTCCTTCTGCACTTCGGCTCAGCTGAACATGCAGAGCATGTTTGGCTGACCGAAGGCAGCCGATATAAGTTCTCCTTTAATAACATCCAAAATGACATGTGATTTGTAGGACATTTGTATTACATGTATTCCCACAAAACAAACATTTATAAATATTAAATTGGCCCTGTGATTTGTTTATAAATACACCCCATGCTGTCTCCAGGAATGGCTTTGGTGAAATGCCAACACTGGTCTACTTTGCCTCCTACAGGTTAAGAATTAGGTGTGCATCCGTGTATAATTTATAAGAGAAGTAAAGCCGATCCTTTTTCTTCGCTATAATTCTCCTTTGGGTCATGGAAGTACATTTACAAATGTATTCCTGTGACCCAAAGTCAGCAAATAGCAAGATAATGTCCTTTTCTGGCTGACGGGGAAGAGCTGCAGTTAAGGGGGATCCAAACAATAGTGTAAGGATCCAGTGTTAATTTAGTTGACTAAAATGTGTCTTCATAGTTTTCCTTATCTGCATGTTTTCACTGATGACAAGTAAATAAAAACCAAGTTAATAGGAGGAAAACTATGACGAAAATACATTGCAATTGTCTCTACTGGAGATTTAGTTGACAAAACTAAACTACAACTAAAAGAAGTCAGATGCCTAAAATGAGCATGTTAGTTTTATTTGCATTTTAGTCATCTGAATGTTTTAGTTGTAGTACAGGCTATTCACAATAGCCCGTACGGCAGCCGAAGGTGGCCGAGCGGCTCAGCTGAGCCGAAGGCACATGTTTCAGCTCGACTGAGCCAAAGAGGGGCAAACGGCCTGCCCTTCGCCCCGCAAATGACAGCTGGGTGGAGCCAGCCGTGATGTCACGGCTGGCTCCACCCAGTTGTAATGAAAGATCAGAGACCCCAAGTCCCCAAATGACCTAATGGCAGGGGCCGGCCAATAGGAAACAGTTGGGCAGAGGTAAATGTCACTGCTAGCTCCGCCCAATTGGGTTTTCTTTAATGATTTAAAAAAAATCTTTACTTATTTTTTAATTTTACAATTTATTTACAATAAAAAAAAATATTTGTAAAACTTTTTTTTTTTTAAACTATTTTCACTTTCTATTCTGCTCTGTACCATGGAGGCACCAAGCAGAATAGCCGAGCCGAATGCCGCTCGGCAGCAATTGGCTATTTATTCCCCTCGGGAAGTCTGAAAGGGAAACAGATCTGGGAGTCATTGAAGACCACAGGCTGAATAATATCTCGCAGTGTCAGGCCGCGGTAAACAAGGCAAGTAGAGTCCTTTCCTGTATTAAGAGGGGAATGTTTTGTAGGGACAAGTCCGTAATTGTGCAACTTTTTAGATCACTGGTTCGGCCTCATCTGGAGTATGCGGTCCAGTTTTGGGCACCAGTGAACAGAGGGGATGTCCTTGAACTGGAAAGAGTCCAGAGGAGGGCGACCAAAATCATAAAGGAGATGGAGGCCCTGACCTATGAGAACAGGCTACTAAATTTAAATATGTTCTCATTGAAAGTAAGGCGATTAAGGGGGGACATGATTTTCATGTATAAAATGTTTACCGGGGATAGCAACATTAGCAGCAAACTTTTTACAATTAAATCGATGACAAGGACGAGAGGCCACCACTTAAAATTGGTGGAGAAAAAATTTCAGCACAGTGGGCGAAGGGGTTTCTTCTCGGTTAGATCAGTCGGGGTCTGGAACTCACTGCCTCATACTGTGATTTCGGCTGAGAGTGTGGAATCATTCAAGAGGCGATTGGACGATTTCCTCAGAGACCATAATATACAGGGGTACAAGTACTCTTAAGATTGAGAACACACAGGGACCTATACTGTAGATACTACACATCAGTAGGACCATACACACATACACAAAGAGGTTGGACTAGATGGACATATGTCTTTATTCAACCTCAAATACTATGTAACTATGTAACTCACTGCCCTTCTGGCCCTATGAGAATAGGGGGAACGGCAGCAAGCGAGCTGCCGAAGCTTCGTCTCAGCCGATCCGTATGTTGCACCGGCTGAGTCGAAGTCCTTCTGCACTTCGGCTCAGCTGAACATGCAGAGCATGTTTGGCTGACCGAAGGCAGCCGATATACGGCTGAAATCAGCCGTACAAGCCAGAAGTGAATAGCTGTAGTTCGCAATGATTAGGTGTGAACCAGCCCTTAATGATTTGGATTATAATATCATTTTAAAACAATGTGAACTTAGTTCACTAAGAGTTAAATATCGCATGAAGTTTTGAGGTAAAATAACTCATGCATTATTTATCTGTTCAGTGTGCAATTCACTAAAATCTATGCGTTATTTTCTGAATGAGATATGTCTGCAAAGCATGCAGTATTTGCGTTATTTTTTCACTGTTTTTATTTTTTTTGATCGTTCCCAGTAGTAAAAAAAAAAAAAAGGGGGGTGCAGACAATTACAGCAATAAAATTAAAAACCAGCCAAGGCACACAGGAACACTTACACACGGCCACAGGCTGACAGACAGTAAATACCGATTCCCCAGGCAACTGCTATTCACTGCATACTTTTTTTCTAAAGTAAATTGACTTTAATATATTTCCTGCGATATTTACAGCATGTTCTTAGAGAACAGTCGATAAATAACGCATATGCGATATTTAGCTTTAATGAATTGAATATTTTGTTATCACATGCGATATTTCACTGAAAACAGTAGGCGACCTGAATATCTCATGCGATAATGTTTAGTGAATTGACCCCTGTGTCTTGAAATATGCAACTTCATTATTGTCTTGAAAATGAATATACAGGACAACGCTGACAATCTCTTACCATCTTCACTGTGTTTCTTCTTGCTTAGCAATTCAAAGCCTAAAATAACGGCCACTAAAACGACAACTTCGGCTACAATAGCAAGAAAGACCTTAAATGGCGCCATTAAACTGAGCACTTTGATGTGAACTTGTCCTTCACTGTCCCCGGTCTTAAACACAGCCTTGCACACATAAGTACCGCTATCTTCTTCAGTCAGGTCAAATATGTGCAACTTTGTCACGTTAGCTGTTTTGTTGGCTTGTTTGTATTTTAAGGATCCTGAAGAGATATTTAAAAGTACCTAAAAAAAAGTGCAAAAACATTTCTTGTAATAACACACATATATACTGTATATATATATCTATATATAGATATATATAGAGAGATATATCTTTATATTTATCTATCTATATATAGATATATACTGTATATATATATATATATACACATATACATACACACACACACAGCTTACCGTTCCTTAAATGTGGCAGCTGCAGTCATTTTCTTTATAGGTTTTTTTCTGGTGATCCTGCAGGTAACACACTTCCTGTCCTAGGATGGCAAGCTCACTCACTGTACTGTATTTGTCACCCTGTCACACTGAGACATGAAGTGTGTTAGGACTACAGGACACTTTCCTCTCTTTCCTTTCCATAACATAGTGAACAGGGCTGATAACACTGCTGAGTGCTCAGGAGTTTATGGACAAATAAGTGAAGCTTATTGTTAGGGTTAACATACACTTTTAGTTAAAAAGGTAAAATAATAATTCAAAGACTCTATGGTATAGATCAGGGGTAGGCAAATTCTGGCCCTCCAGCTGTTGTGGAACTATAAATCCCATGAGGCATTGCAAGACTCTGACATCCACAGGCATGACTACACAGAGGCAGGTGCATACTGGGATTTGTAGTTTCACCCTAGCTGGAGGGCTTGAGTTTGCCTACCCCTGGAATAGATTGTCAGTTCTATGTTTCCTAGGACAAAACTTTAAAACTTGAGACTGTCGCTGTAAATCTAGGCCAGGTAAAACCAAAAAAAATCTCAAGGCCTCAGAAGGCAGGAAGTAAATGGAATGGGTGAACACTTAGGACGCTGAACATGCAGAACACAGTGGCTCCAGACATGTCAATCTGGTTCTCCTTTAACCTCCCTGGCGGTATGATTATGTCAGGAATTTTGTACCAAAAGCGGTACAATTTTTTGCATGGCAATTTGATGTTATGTATTGTAGGCCATTATTTTGCAAGGATAATTTTTAGGGATGCACCGATATATCGGCTGCCGAAACATATCGGCCGAAAATGGCAATTTTGGCATAATGCCGAAAGTGCAATTTTTTCTGCTGATACATCAGCGCATCCCTGCTTTCTTTCCTCCCCGCTGGGTGCTGCTCTGTGTCCCAGCGGGGAGGAGACAAGCTGTGACAGGCTGCCGAGCGCTGCAGGAGGAGAGCGCTGTGAGCGGCCAGCGTCTCCTCCCACACCGCTCAGCCTCCTATCACAGTCCAGCAGATCGGTGTGTGGGCGGAGACAGGCCGCGCTGTTACAGGAGGCTGAGCTCTCCTCCCTGCACCATTTGCTCAGCCTCCTGTGACAGCGTGTCAGAGAGGAGAGCAAGTTACAAACACTCAGCGATCAGTGATCGCTGAGTGTTTTAACATAATTGAGGACATGGTATGTTAACTATATCCTCAATTATGAATGAATGGGAGTGAGCTACATCACCTCCTGTTCATTCATAGTTGTGGTTATAGTAAACATACTCTGTCCTCATGTTATCAATGAACAGGAACACTCATAGAGGATTTCTGTTCATTGATAACAGGGGACACAGAAAAAGAGATAGAAAAAGAGATTTAGACCCCCAATATTTCCCCGAAGCCCCTAAAAGTAATGTAAAAAATAAAAATATTTAATAAAAAATGAATAAATA